TAGTTTTGTGCAAGCAGCAAACTGTCCGTTATGAACACCTTCGAGCATCGAAGACTGCATCAATATACCTGGTAGAGGGAGCTTGGGCACAGAAGTCTATGGTCGTTTTGATAATCATATCGTCTGACTTGAGACTCTGTGATGGATGTTTGCTTTAAGAGAACAGAGCTGTGAACCGATCACTACCTTGTTGTTGGCACGCTACGCTGTAAACGGATGATTACCATGCGAAGACCGAGAGCACGAGCCACCAGTGAATCAAATGGGAAACATTATCATCATCGGATAAGATGGCGAAATTTGCAAACAACTTTGCACGACGGCTTGAACAGATCCCAGTAATGACGGCTGACATGAAGACCGAGTAGAAGCTCATTAAGAGCCGCTTACTTGGGGGTACCGCCGAATGCTGCGGTTGAAAACGGGCTGGCCTATCGGCTGAGAGTTAGAAACGAACGCCTGGTAAATACCAGAAGTTCAGCTGGTTGTAAGCAAGAGGGCTACCTTCAGAAGGTGGCTTGGAAGCAAGGATCCTTCATTTGGAATGCAGTGCGAAGAAGCGCACGGGGTGGGGGGAGCACTGGCCAACGCAAAAGCTTATTCCTGGGAAAAGTTCGGTACGGTGCTTCAGTCAAATTTCCAGATGGAAGCCAAGGTATTGTAGCCGACCATCCGCCGCCTCCAGGATAGAAACAAAGGAAGTCTGAGAGTCCTGAAGTGCAAGTCCGAAAGCCTTCTTACTAAAGAAATGGATGTCCTTCTGCGATGGGCAGAGTATTTCGAGGAATTCCTTAACCCCGAGCAACTGCAGGAAGACTCGCATGAAGAGCAGCGGACAGTGGATATTAATCTTTCAGTAGACGAAGTCACAGAATCTGTTAAAAGCTTGAACAGTGGCAAGGTTTTCGGAATCGATGAAAGCCGTCCATCGACGCTTAACGCTTTAGACGTATAAGGTATGTTGTGCCTAACAAGTGTGTATCAAATTGTAAAGGCTACGGGGCAGAGACCAGTGGAGTGGAGAGCTTGGGTTGTGCTACCCCTGTTAATGAAGTGAGACCGTTGGGAACATACATGCGCTCCAACTCTCGGGACGTTACCTTTTTCAGCCACCCGGGGAAGGTTTAGCCTAAGGTGTTAGGAGGAATGTGCCGTGAAACATGTGACTGTAATATCCAAGAAGATCAGTATGGCTTCAGGCCAGACTGAAGCACTTCTGATCAGATCTTGGCCTTTCGCCAGTTTGTCGAGAAATGGGAGTGATATGCTGCGTAAGAGTAAATAGCGTTAGGTCGAAGCCCTTCAACGTTGGCCCTGGCCTTCGCCAAGGCTGCTTCCTGCCCCCTCTCCTGTTTGTGTTGTACATGGATAGAACAGTCAGGAGCAGCCAAGGCGATGAGTGTATCGGTGTAGGAGATGTAGAGACGAGAAGTTTGCTGTCTGTAAATGACTTTATTTTGTTGGCATCTGAAACTGGTCTCCAACACTCTCTGGAAAGGTTCGCGGCGGAGCGTGATGTGGCCGGCATGCGTGTGAGCGTGTTTAAAAGGATAAGCCTAGTGCTTTCTGACGTTGCACTCCGCAGATGAACGGAGAAGGAGCGGATAAATTCAAGAACCTCAGGGTCATGTTTATCGATGATGGAAAATTTGAGGAAGAGATCGACCGGCGAATTGGAATAGCCAGTGGCGTTCTGCGTGAACTAGCGCCAACCTTTGTGACTAAGGCAGAGCTGAATCTGAAGACTAAACGTTCCCTGTTTGAATGTTCCCTTTATACGGTCGTGAACAGTGGGTTGCGATCGAGAAAAGATGAATGGATGGGCTGACGTGGGTCCGGAGTTCATATATCTGAAAAAGCTTTAGCGTACAGCCGCTGCTTCTGATGATTGAGAAGTCAAAGCTGCAATGACTTTGGCACGTCTTGCGAATGCTTATGGAAAGGAAGGGGAATCAGCTACTGCACTGGTCAGCCGAACTGCCCAAGAATCCGTAGACGATCAAGAATGATGTCGCGCAAGTATTTCGAAGGACTATGCTCCAGATTCAAGTTACCTTCTGCTGAAGCTTAAACGCTGGCATATGATCGCGAAAGTTGCAGACACTGTCTTACACGTCTGTCATCCACCCGAAGGAATATGTGTACATCTAAACTGACTGACTACCATGTTGCGGAAGCCTCCTTGAGCCTGCCAATAAAATGTCCGAAAGTACTGAAACGGCAATTCAATTATAACGGTATTTCGTGGTTAGATAGTGCTCCGTAGAAACCATCATCTCGTCCTTATTGCTGGGATCGAACGATGACAAAAATGAGGGATTACTTGGCAAGGTGGAGCATGTCCCGCTTTAACCTCTACGGTAGCCATGAACGTCTTTCATGAACCCGAAACGGCCGGTCAACGATGCTATATTTTTATAAAATCCGGACTGGTGGTTATGACCACCCAGTGTTGGGAAGCGGCTGCCAGTATTCACCTGTTCGGCAAATGATGTATCCTCAAGTCAGTGGTAGCCTCTGACTCAGAAGCAGGCACGTGGTCGCATGAGAGTAACATGGCTGCTCTACCGCGCGCTCTACGTTTCCCCTTGCTTCAAGGAGACGGAGTTTAAAGGGACAACCAATCATAAGGAATACGAGTTCAAAGTACTGCACAATGGTTTCGGTACCTAGCTGGTTACTGCGGCGGCCCGGGGACATTTTTCTGATTTCGCAACGGTCCTCTGTCGACTGCGCGCACGTGATGATGAGGTAGTCGAAAATTGTGTTTTAGCCCCGCAGTTCTGGTGCCTCGGTTAATTTAATGACGCTTTCTTTATACTGTGAAAATTCTTTTGGCAGGCTCGAAACACATCATTACCTTCCGGCTTCTTAGCACCCGGTTGTCGATTGCCAGATGAATGAGAAATTTGAAAAAACAAGGGGGCTTCTGTTAGGAGTTTGATCATGTAACAAGCCTGGACAGAAAATGGAATAACGGAATTTAACGTAAATAAGATTACAAGTTCAGCTGCTTCGATAGGGCCCATTTCAGGGTGTTAGGTTTAGAATATTTGAAAAGCTGCAGTTTCTCATATCTCGCACAGTTTATTACAGCATTATTAGCTGCACTATGTTTGCCATTAAATCGATGAAAAAATAGCGTAAAATACGGTGTACTTATACGCAACGCAAGACTGTGGTCAGCCCAGTGACTGACCAATATTGACATTTCGACCTTCGTCTCAGGGGCCTTTCAAGATAGGTTGGTGGTGAAGTTTCGTGAATATGGTTGGTTGTCCGCAGCAGTCGATAGTTTCGCAGCCAGGAGGAAAGGCCACTCGTCCTTCTAGACCTTCCGACTGGGAAACTATCGACTGCTGCGGACAACCAACCATATTCACGAAACTTCACCACCAACCTATCTTGAAAAAAGACACGTGTGACATGGGTCGAAATGTCAGTGTTGGTCAGTCACCGGACTGGCTACAGTATCTTTTGCGTTGGTTAAGTAAACCATCTTTTACGCTTGTTTTTTAATATAACCACCAACGCACGAACGAAATTGTTTATCTTCGGACATTATGTTCATGCACTAAAAAGAGGTCATCCTTGTTTTCGCATTACCAGCAGATACCCAGCAGCGGCATGGATATTACCGTGTATACCAGTAGAGCAGAAAGAAAGAAAGAATTTTTTGCAGTCATTGGGATGTCGACCAGGCGAAATTTGCGGTACCGTTCTTTCACGAGCTTATTATATGGTTCTAACCTTCGTTACGATGTCATCAGCCGCAAGTGTCCTATTTTAATGAAATGAAATTTGCAGCCAATTGTCATGCGCAGCGAGTACTTTTTCCTTCCCTCGCAGTGTTGCTCCTATCATCTGTCGACCACTGATTAACCGAAGAGTGGCTTGCCCGGGCCTCTAGCTCATCATCTTTTGACTAAGTTCGGCACTCTGCTGACTGAGCTACTGCGAGTTTCAAGCCGATAGAATAACATGGGTTTGACAGCATTCATCATAATCTGTACTGATTGTAACGTCGCTATAAGTAGAGAGGTCCTTCAGCACACGTTATGTAGCAGTTCAAGCTGCACTTTGGAACGATTTGCTGAACAACGTAACATACACAGAAATGCCGATCTTCTCTACTGTCT